TTTCAGGACCAATCAGCTGTTGCAGGGCAGATCGGTTCTGCTGCACATGCGATTTGCGATGCCGATCTGCCCTGGAACAGCTGGGATAGCGCTGGAATGCTTCACCTCCGAAAAACTGTGCGGGATTACGTTAAAACGTGTGACCACGTCACCGGTCACACATTCTAAAGTAGTCACATACTTTGATAGAACACCGCCATCAGGGGGGTATGGCCAGTACTCATGTGAGGGGTCTGGGGGGCCTCTTACATGGGTATCAAGTGTACTGAGGCGGCATGGCAGAGGTGACAGGGGAGGGGGTGGAGGAGGTCGGGCCCCAGCAGCAGCAGGTAAGAAGAGTTGGGAGGAGGTACAGGGAAGGGGATCCCGACGACCAGACCAGCCCACCTGGGACCCTGCAAAGCCGACCATAGAGAGTCTCAGGTGGGCTATGCAGGATCTATGGTGGGCTCTGCAGGGTCTCAGGTAAGTCCAGCACGCTACTGCAACACCGCTGGGGCCAGTGTGATCCGCTCCCGCTTAAGGTTGAACAAAGAAAATATTACAGTGTACGGGCAGCTTTAGACCACCAGAGCCTGAGGGAAAAGAGGCCATGGGGACCGGTCTATCACCCAGGCCGGGCCGAGCATCAGGTGAGTATATCTTCAAGGGTTTCATCCCTAGACAAAAATGAACACTTAACCCTTGCAGTGCAGGGGTAGCCCCACTGCAAGGCTTCATTTAAATAAATCCTAGAGTTCTTCTATAATCTCAAAAATAGCAAAATTGAATGAAGACGTTCCCCAGACAGCTTTAATCGTAAGAAACACTGACACAATATCTACTGTGCTTCCTATGAAACCCATCACAAAAGAACAATTTCCACATTGAGTCATGTGCACCTTTGTTAAAGGTAAGGGCTTCACAGTGTGTTCCGTGCTAAACGACACATCTTCCCATGTTTTTAAATATTTTATCTGTACAAGATAAAAGGACCCGTGGGTGTCATGTGGAGAGACATGTGCGTGCTTAGGAGCTATTAAAAGTTTGTATAAGACGTTTACTCTCTACCACGTGTACAAATATACACTGGAAAAATAATTCTGCGAAAAAAGAAGAAAAAAAAAGGAAAAGAACCTGCAGACCATAAAATGACAGACTTTAGGTTTCTCTGAAGCAGTGTGTTAATGCATGTGATGGTAAGGTATTTGCATGACATCCCAGAACAACCTCTTATCTGGCTGCTTTTTCACATACCTCCCAACTTTGAGATAGAGGGACACCTTTTAGCACAAGTATGAAGGCAAAAGGATGTACCCCTGCCTGCTTCCAGTCACATACACCATGAAGAATTAATATGTAGAACGTAATAAATAAAACCCACAAGTGTTTTTTTTCACAACTCTTTTTGCTTTATACAGCCTTTAAAAAAAAAAAAACTACATGTAATGATTTACAACTTGGCTGCATAGGCCCGTACAGCATGCACGGCCCTTGTTTATGCGCCCGGGAGCTACCTGGGAGTCACAGGGGTTCCATGCAACTGCAGGCAGCTAAGGGCCTGTTTACACTTTTGCGTTTTAGTGCACATGTCGGAATCCAAAACTATGGATGTGTGATAGGAACACATGCCCGTTCACACCACATCCATTGCGAGACCCAAACACATCCCTGGTGACGTTTGCACGCATCCCTGGTGAGACCTGCTCTCATCCCTAATGATATCTGCACGCATCCCTGCTGAGACCTGCATGCATCCCTGCTGAGACCTGCACGCAGCCCTGCTGAGACTTGCATGAATCCCTTGTGAGACCCAAACGCAGCCCTGGTGAGCTCTGCATGCAGCCCTGGTGAGACCCAAACGCAGCCCTGGTGAGATCTGCACGCAGCCCTGTATAATTGCTGTGTAATCGTGGATTGATGGGATCTGTAGTCCTTTATAGCTAGTTGCCATTCTCCATTGCTGTATAATTAAAGATTATACAGCAACAGAGAATGGCAACCGGCTATAGAAGACTACAAATCTCAGCAATCCATGATTGCTGGTTGCCATTCTCTATCAGGGCGGTGGGTTTGGAGGGGAGGGGGGCGCCTTGAGGAACCTGCCCTTGGGGCATCAAAAAGAGTAAATCCAGCCCTGTATGTGGGATGTCCCATTTTAGTTGAGAGTGGCCTCACCAGAGCCATTGGGAGGAATTTATCATAGCAGTTGCGAGTGTTTGAATTCGCATATGGTTGCATGGGATATATTTGCGCCATATTTATGATCCAACAGTAAAGTTGTTCATAAATGAGGTTAAATAGACTCCAGTAAAGAAGACTCGTAACTCCAGGCAAAAAGCTTAACTGTCGCTTCTTGAAGAAGTGGTCATGGGGACTTCTTAAATTGCGATTGTTTTGTTAGGTGATGCTCCCGTTATCAGACGGCCGCAGAACAAGTGCAGGCGCAAAACACGTGCAGTTGGAAAAGTAGTACAAGCTCAGGTCAAAACAGGGGCACATGTTAAAAGACAGATGTGCACATAAAAAGAATGAGGTAAGAGGCTAAAACTGTCGCCATTGATAAATTATCCACATTGTGTTTATCACGTTTTGACCGATCTTCTGGATATATGAATTCGACACCTCACCTGCACTTGTTCCAGTAAAGTACAAGGTGACCGTGTCGATTTTGATAGTATGATCATCTGAAATCACTTGTATGAGGAGAATTTACATCATGTGAGTGACCCCTTACAGCAGGAGTGGGCAACTCTAGTGGCGTGTTCAGTTGCCGAGCTAGCAAACCTATTAGGGGCAAACGGCAGTGAGTGAGCTGCCGGAGCTTCGGCTCACTCGATCCAGATGTTGGATCGGCTGAGTCAAAGTCCTTCCGCAATTCGGCTCAGCCGAACATGCAGAGCGTGTTCGGCTGACCGAAGTGCAGCCGAAGGCAGCCAATGTATGGCTGATTTCAGCCGCTATATGGCTGAAATCAGCCATACAAGCCAGAAGTGAATAGCCGAACAGCGTTCAGCTCACTTTACTTCTGCTGGGTTTTTCAATAACCCCCTTTGACTGACATTTATTCAGTCATGCAACGCTGTACTGAAATTACTTTTATATAATTCTTTGAGGACAAATAGAGCTTTTTATTTTACATCTATGTTATAATACATTTATTATTACCCAATTTTTTGGTAAAATATAAAAGACGGGGTCACGTTGGGTAAATAGACACCAAACATGTCAAGCCTTACAAATTGCTAAGAACTACCATACCCAAAATTGACCAATCAGCTTCTCTCCAGCTTCTGAAGCCGGAGAGTGACAGCTGAATGCGGAAGTGATTTAATATATACCACTTCCTGCATTCCAACAACGGGGAGGAGATCAGAGGAAGACCATGTACTGATCTCTCTCTGATCCTGTCACAGAGTCACCGTGCTGGTCCTGGGCTTACATCAGGCACAGCGGAGCTCAGGACCAGCGGAGGGGGGGGGTCTGCAGAGGAGGGGGGGCACACAGACCGGCACCTCATACAAGTGATCTGTTGGCTCTATAGCCGGCGGATTGCTTGTATGTAAACAGGCATCGTTGCCTGTTTACAAATTTTGCCAGGTTCCCGCTCATGCGTGCCGCGTGTAAGTAGGTGGGGCTAACATGCCGTTTTTTGTCACATCCAAGAAGCTCCCGGCCGATCATTTAAGTACAACGGGCAGCCGGGAAGCGATTAACTATGGGCACACCTGGCAGCGCTGGAGTAAGGTGGCTGAACTCCGATGGAGGACTTCAATTCTTGTTGGAACCTACAATTTAATGTTTTGGTGGACGAGCACACCAAATATTTGTTGGAAAATTGTATTTATTAGTCAAAAATATTATCCTCCGCCATTTTGCTCAGCACTGTCCAGCCAAAGCGTTCAGTGAAGTTGCTGCAGCGAACCGAAGTGCTGCAGAACAGCTACTCAGCTCTTGGCTAAGGAACTGAACGCGCCTCAGCTGTCCTTTAACTACAAATTTCAGCATACCTCTGCCTCTAGAAGTCATGCCTGCAACTGTCAGTCTTGCAATGCCTCATGGGACTTGTATTTCCACAACAGCTGTAGGGCCGGAGTTGCCCATCCCTGCCTTAGAGGTTGCATTAAATTACTGTAACATTTTTATTTGTTAAAGCAGATGTAAACCCAATCACTAAAATCTCATCATTTTTGACATGACAATGTCATTTTATAAGTCGTTGTTAATCATTTTACATGTATTGATACCTGCTGATCCTGCCATGAAGGTCCCTGTTCATGCCCTTCCGACAGAACTGGAGAGGGACACACTTTTAAGGTAAGTGTGCCGTAAGGCCCCATTCACACCTAGGCGTATTGTAATATGCGCGTCTGTCGCGCGACCGTCACGCGGTTTTTTTACCGCGATTCGCGGTAAAAAAGTAGCGCGACCGCCGCGCGCTTCCAAAGGCTACTTGGCAGTATCCAAATGGAAAGGTAGGGCGTTAGGGACGGGCGGAAATACGGCGAGGTGGGAACGAGGGCATTGACTACAATGCAATTTATATTTTTGACCGTTTTGTAGAGCGTTCGTCGAGCGTAGAACGCCCTACAAAACGGTCAGGTGTGAACGCAGCCTAATATGCAAGGTTGCTGTGCATTCACTTACCTTAAAAGTGGAAGTATGCTGTGCAATGTGCAAGCTGCTAGTGTGGTCAAAAGCAGAAAAGAATCAAAGCGGTTTACTTTGGCTTTCAATAGAACATTGTTTAATAGAGGTTTGTATATCTATACAACTAGTGAGGAAAAAAAAAGAAGGGACGGAAGGATCTGGGACGGAAAGAGAAACAAGGGACAGTTGATGTTGATGCTTTGAATCCATGTGTACGTATGTTTTGTGAGTGTGCAGTCCAGTGGCACATTCCTCTCATAGCTGCTCTCTGAAATGAATTGTGCATGCAGCAAGAAGAAGGGGAAAAGTCTAAGCGTTTGACGTCACTTTGGAAATGAGGAAACATGCATAGAAAGGAGCTGCTCACTCCTGTGAGCTGACAGTACAGAAGCCTATTGGTTTGCTGCTGCCTGCCAGTGGCAACTGACTCCAGCACCTCCCAGCTCCAGCTGCTGCTGTATGCAACCCATTCTCACAGTCACACTGCAGCAGATACCAAACTATCCTACAATTCCTCCAAAACACACAAGATCCCAGAAAAAAAGGTGAATGACTTTGGCTCTGATTGCCCCTCCTTTGTTGTTTTTCTTTTTTGTCCTTCTCCCTAATCCTGTATGCTGTTGCCGGACTCTGCAGCACAGGTCTACATGTACGAGCAGCATCGATTAGAGGTTTCAAGGCATTCGGAGGTCACTGAGCTGCAGCTATGGTTAAATGTCTTGTGTAATGGTTGAGGTAGGTAGCACTTTTTTTCTTTTCCACACCTGGCTGTTACGGCTAGGAAACAATATGTCATTTTTTTATTTGCCTTTTACCCTTTGGTCTGACTGTTTTTGTTTTGGTGATACAATTATGTTTCCATGGTAACATGTTTCTAGTATTTGCTGTCTTCGTCTGTTGTGTGCTGGCCTCACTGACAGGTTTGATTTGTTTAATGGGTATGTTTCTCAAAGGTTAGTCCAACTCCCCAGATGTTTAATAGAATACAGTAACATTCACTAGGGCTGTTATGCTATAGAGCTTATTTATTTTTTACAAGAACTCACTTCTGGTGCACACTGTGTGCCTGCCAAATAAAGAGCTACAGGCATATCTGATATAAAAGTGGTTCATCTTGTGCCTTCCAGTAGCAAACGACAATGACTTGATTGGCCGGTCGTGATGGCCAGCGTATTTTATACCGATAACGACTCTATTTTTATAATCCTCGAAGTGGTCACGTCCGACTATGACAGCAAGCATGCACTGCACAAGTTATTACCAGATAACACACTGGCAAGGTGTGTGGATAAATGATTTGTGTATCCCCGGTCTCAAAGTGGACTTCGAAAGGGATACAAGGCAAAAATATTACTGAAGGTTGGATTATGGATAGCAAAGTGGTCTTCTAAAGGCATACAAGTCATAATTATTATTTTATTTTTGTTTACTGCAGGTTGGATTTTGTATAGCAAAGTGGTCTTCTAAAGGCATACAAGTCATAATTATTATTTTATTCACTGCAGGGTGGATTATAGATAGCAAAGTGGACTTCTAAAGGGATATAAATCATATTATTTTATTTTTACTGCAGGCTGAATTATACATAACAAAGTGGTCTTCTAAAGGCATTACGCCATAATGATCATTTTATTTACTGCAGGCTGGATTATACATAACAAAATGGTCTTCTAAAGGTATAAAAAGCCATAATTATATATTTTTTTTACTGCAGGCTGGATTATAGATAACGAAGTGGACTTCAAAAAAGGATACAAGTCATAATTATTATTATATTTTATTTTGTTACTGCAGGCTGAATAATAGATAACAAAGTGGTCTGTAAAGGGATACAAGTCATAATTATTATTTTATTTTTTACTGCACACTGAATTATTGATAACAAAGTGGTCTTCTAAAGGGATGCAAGTCATATATTTTTTTTATCCTGCAGGCTGAATTCCAGGTAGAACAGCCTCGGATATTGTGGTGCACTAAAATATAAACAACACACACACTTAATTGACAGCTTAATTATTCATTCAGCCAACTCAACTTGACTTGTTAAATTAAACAAACAGCAAGTTTTTTTTCCCTACATACCCACATTTCACCTCATAATACATTTTTAGGATGCTTTGCTCGGATCACGTTCTAAAGTTTAACATACCCTGACTGAATTAAAGCAAAATATTGTCCTTTATTCGGTTTCTCTGAACGCCATGCTGCCAGCCTGTAAGGGAAGCTGCTGCTGGTCAAATGAATTTGTAAATATAATAATGAAGCCTTTGTGGCCTTAGCAGAAATGCAGCATTCCTCTTGAAGCGATGCAGAGCTTGTTGGGAGATTGGTGCAGTGTGTGAGTGTACAAGACACTGCATAGCATGAATGAGTACAACAGGTACTAGGAAAATCGAGATGGAGAGATAGATAGATAGATAGATAGATAGATAGATAGATAGATTATAGCTAGAGATAGATAATAGAGTAATAATAGATAGATAGATAGATAGATAGATAGATAGATAGATAGATAGATTATAGCTAGAGATAGATAATAGAGTAATAATAGATAGATAGATAGATAGATAGATAGATTATAGCTAGAGATAGATAATAGAGTAATAATAGATAGATAGATAGATAGATAGATAGATAGATAGATAGATAGATAGATTATAGCTAGAGATAGATAATAGAGTAATAATAGATAGATAGATAGATAGATAGATAGATAGATAGATAGATAGATAGATTATAGCTAGAGATAGATAATAGAGTAATAATAGATAGATAGATAGATAGATAGATAGATAGATAGATAGATAGATAGATTATAGCTAGAGATAGATAATAGAGTAATAATAGATAGATAGATAGATAGATAGATAGATAGATAGATAGATAGATAGATTATAGCTAGAGATAGATAATAGAGTAATAATAGATAGATAGATAGATAGATAGATAGATAGATAGATAGATTATAGCTAGAGATAGATAATAGAGTAATAATAGATAGATAGATAGATAGATAGATAGATAGATAGATAGATAGACAGATTATAGCTAGAGATAGACAATAGAGTAATAATAGATAGATAGATAGATAGATAGATAGATAGATAATAGAGTGAGGATAGATAGATAGATAGATAGATGATAGATAGATTATAGCTAGAGATAGATAATAGAGTAATAATAGATAGATAGATAGATAGATAGATAGATAGATAGATAGATAGATAGGATAGATAATAGAGTGAGGATAGATAGATAGATAGAGTGAGGATAGATAGATAGATAGATAGATAGATAGATAGATAGATAGATAGATAGATAGATAGATATGTAATATGGATTGCAAGATAATTGACTTTATAACCTGTTTGCATGGTAAACAGGAGCCCACCCCAATGTTTTGTCTTTATCTGTACTTTAAATATGATATGAAGCATGACATGGGTTAGGACATCTGTTCCCTCTTCTGAGATCTGCTTTTTCAGGATCATGTAGTGCTATGTAGGGAGAGGCCTGATTGGCTCTATACAGCTCCATCATAACATAGTCACTTTCTATGGCTGTGTATGAGTGGAAATATATTTCTTTAGAATAATCCAACATTTCATTTGCGCCTAATGCTATAAATGTGTACTGCAGCCTATTGAACAAAACACATGAAGTCACGATGTGCTTGTATTTTACAAAAATAGTGATTCTTTTATCATGTACAAAAACTAGGTAACATCTCTTTCACTAATAGAATGTAGTAATCTTTGTATATTGACCAGCCTGATAGGCGACACATTTTTTCAGACGGTTGCCTTGCAGAAAAGGTGTTGCTTTGAAATGTACTGCAGTCTCACAAGCAGCCTTGGAGTTCAGGACTACATATATTATCAGGAAAAAAAATGCAGAGGATGTGGTATGTGCTGTGAATGGACAATTGCTATTCTGCAGTGCCGGCTTGGAAAACAGGGACTTTGTGTGTTGCTTCTTCTACATGACATGACTGGGACGATTCCATTTCCTTGGCTCGAAAAATCGTGGGCTGTCTCACTGAGCAAATACTCAACTCTTTAATATCAGACTTCAGATAACCTGACGGTTTTATTTATCTCATGCTCAGGCTGCCACATTTTGCAGAACGCCCTCCTCGTGTGAATGTCTGGTGTTTGTGGGTTGTCAGAGGCTCCTAATTTGGAAGAATAATATTTTTGAATATTAATGACATGGGGAATTTGCCCTTTTGGACACTGGATAGACTCAGTTTTTTTTTACCTTTTAATAGTAAAATCATATTATTAGGTTTCATTTAGATCAGAGGTGGGCAAACTCCGGCCCTCCAGCTGTTGTGGGACCACAAATCCTATTTTATCTATTACCATGCTGGAAACCATTCATCATGGCCCCATACACACCCACAAATGGGGCCGATCGCAGAGTCTCATGAATTCCTCCATGAGGCTCATGTGATCTGCTGCAGGGGGTAGCACTGTACAGTACAATGACAGCTGCCATTGCCTGCAGCAATTTGCATGCCGTTCGCATGTAATCGCCCCTGCTGCAATTACCTGCAAATGATTGCACTTGGACACAGACTGTTTATTTTCGAGTGCGATCATCTGCAGGTGATCGCATTTTGTACAGTTATATATGAACAGCTGCTGTTGGTGGCAGTTGTCATTGTATCATACAGCGTCTCCCCCAACAGCAAATCACAGCAGTCTTGCAGAGGAATTCATGTGGGCTTGTTCACATCAAATGCGGACCAGACCTGCATGAGTTTGTACACATGCAGTGCATTGTGTTTTGACGCTTTTTTGATGCATTCCGGGCTGGGTTTTTTTAGCCTAAAATGGGCTTTCCGTGCGTTCCAGAGCGTTTGCATGCATTTTTAATGCGTTTGCGTGCGGGTTTGATGCATTTGAATGCATTTTGGTGCGTTCCAGAGCAGAAAAAATAAGTCATGCTGTCGTTTTTCCATGTGCTCTGGAACTGAACGCTCTGGTGTGAAATCGAGCCCAAAATACCATTGGAATACATTGGATGCATTTTTGATGCGTTCTGCTCTGCTCTGCATCTGCTCCGTGCTTGGTGTGAACAAGCCCTGAAGTGTGAGTAGGGCCTTAGTGTGCAGGCAGAATCTGTGATCACTGTCCTAAAGTTTCTGCACCTTTATTCACAAACTTAAGGAGAAACAAAGTTGCAAGCTGTGATATCAGAAAACTATGCATTGAGATATAGTGATTTAAATCTCCTATTCATATAAAGGCTTATTTAAAGCTGAACTGCCGCCACAAAAATGTTCATTCAAATATATTCCTCAAGTGCCAAAAAGGATGTAAATCCACTTTGTGTGCACCAAAAGCCTTTACAAGCCCTATGATTAAAGTACTCCCTTTCACTAAAAATCACATCAGCATACAGCTCTGCATGCTGATATGAAATCATCTTACACTCATTAGTTAAACAAACATATTTTTATTTTATTTACAATTTCTTTTTTTTTCTACTCGCTGGTCCACTTTGGCACAAATGAGTTGATTGCGCTCAAGCATTGCATCCTGGGAAGGTTACATCAGCAGAGCATTGCTGCGAAATCTCATCTGTAATCTCATGAGATCTCAGGGAAAGGGATTTCCCTCCCCTGAGATGATGTGCATAGTCACATGTCTTAGTTACCTGTCCTAGTCACATGTGCCAGAGTTCCAGGAAGTAAAGGCAGATGGATTAATCTGCACTTAGTAAAAATG